AATGAAGAAAGATAAAAATGAGTAAATAAATAAAGAAAGATAAAAATGAGTAAATAAATAAAGAAAGATAAAAATGAGTAAATAAATGAAGTATGTAAATGTAGATAAAGTAGTAATGAAAGTTATAAATTCGATTTAAAACCAATGGCTAGAATGTGTACTTACGTACACACGTGTCATAGAGATAAAAGAGAAATAAGTAAATCAAATTCGTTTCATTGACGAATTCGATGAAATTCAAATTAGCCTCTCGCTAATTGCGGCAGACTTTGATTTGCATACGATAGCAAGTTACAATCTACACTGGAAACGACGAAATGTTTCATCAGCGTGTATTTCTCAGAAAGTATAAACGTATAACTAACGGTGGATAATTGTTGAATTGGAATTCACTTGCGTCTAATTCATGTGAAGTTTGTTGCAATTACTGTCGATAACATTTGCCGAAGTGAGCGCCTATAGTTTGACTCGAGCAGTGTGACGTGAGCGCCTATTGGCGTTCCTCGTTTCAGCGGACTGAAGTAAGTCAAGTATGGGCGCCAATTGCATTGCTCGAAAGCAAATTTTAAAAACGCCACTAGGCGCCAAATGGTGAAATTAAATTAAAGGTAACAAATAGGTTAGAACATGAGTGTTGAAAAGAGTCATATCAAGTACGTAGAAAAATTGTTTTTTATATCCTTAAATACGTATTGATATACGAACGTCTCGACATTGTCGATTTTAGGTTAGGAAACGCATGGCGTCTCTCAGATGTCATTGTATGTCAAGGGGTTAAAGCGACAAGATTGAATGATTTTTAGAAATGTCTTTCTTAGGAAATTGTTGAGAACGGAAAAAATAATATAATTTTGCGAGGACACGTTCATAAATGAAAGAGAGAAATTTTGTTCAGGCAATTCAATGCAATTGTTGCTATCTGACGCACAATCATCAGAAATAATAACTAAAAAATAAAAAAGTTTTTTTGAAGTCAGACTAGTTTGTGCTGGAATTATATCTGTTTTCGGCAAAAATCATAAGGAATAAGATCGAGAATTTATATATTCGTACGTAGAATCATTTCCCAAACCTTCCGCGCAATTATTTTAAATGAAAAAAAATGTACATCTCGATTTGAAAATGAATTGTAGCTTATGATTTATCATTTCATTATAGTATATTATATCACGATATTAGTAATAATTATATTACTGTAGAATATTACTATATTATATTATTATAGTTAATATAATTATAAATAAAAATAAATATAATATATGATTAACTGTAACATGTATTATTATGATTAATATAAATATAAATAAAAATAAATATAATATATGATTAACTGTAACACATTGTACAATAATATATTATTATCGTTAATTTGAAAATAAATTACAGTATTAGTAGTAATTATATTACTATAGAATATTACTAT